TCTACCTATGAACACTTGTATTACTTCCACCTTCTGGCCATTAAGAACCCATTTTATTTCCCAAGGCATTCAGAAGGTTCCACAGGCTCCTAATAATTCATTGCAAAGCCTTGCAGTGAGCCTTGTTTTCCCTAAGTTAGTCTCATGTCTAACCTAAGTCCTCTGTGTTGTGTCGCAAGGCCATCTATTCCTTGTGTTCACTGAATGCTCTGCCTGCTCCACCACTTCCCAACTGAAGGCCTTGAGTAGCAGCCTTTACCCTCCACCTTTAGTTCTGTCATTGATAAAGGGAAAATCCTCACAGAGTTTTGGGTAATTCTAAGAGAGCTAATGCACATTCAGCACCTGGCCCTGAGCCTGACACATAGTAAAGGTACAATACTGGTATCACACTGAAAGATGCCGGGGGGTGTGTGTGTGTGTGTGTGTCTGTGTGTGTCTGTGTGTGTGTGTATACATGTACACATGTGCATGTTGCCACTGAGCCACTTTCACACAGAGAAGTCAGCTAAAGCACCCATTCTCTCTTCCTTCCACAGGCTGGCTCAGAGCTGAGATGCAGGGTCTTGCTGTCAGAACTAGTCTGTCTGAGAGCACAGATTAGCATAATTTCAGCCACCTCGAGGACCCACATCTCTTTACATCTCACCACCTAAACATTCAGAAACTCCCTCTTGGCTAGTGCTGAAGGAAGAGGACTCAAGCCAGCCTCTCCCTCTCTATTTCTCTTCACCTTTGGGGCAAGGCTTTCCTCAAGATGAAGGGGCTCTCTAACCTAAGACCAATGAATCCTGAATGAGGATGATGACTGATGGTATGATAAGAAGAATAGCTACCCTACAAAGATGTCCACCTAATAATTCCTGGAACCTGAGTATAAAGATGTGACAGGTTCCAGGATTACAGATTGCTGGTTATATGACAAAAAGGAATTAAGGTTGCAGAAGAAATTAAGGTTGTTGATCAGCTGATAAATGATTATCCTGGATTATCTAGTGGGCCCAAATGAATCACATGAGCTATTAAAAACAAAAGAGGAGTCAGGCATGGTGGCTCCTGCCTGTAATCCCGGGGCCAAGGAAGCCCAACGCAGAAGAATTCCTTTATGCCAGAAGTTCAAAGCCAGCCTAGACAACCCATAGCAAGACCCCATCTCTACAAAAAAAAAAAAAAATCAAAAATTGAAAAAAGAACAGCAGAAGAGTTGGTCAGAGATGTGATGAGAAGGGCTCAACCCATCATTGTTGGCTTTGAAAAGGGACAAGGAAGCCACAAGCCAAGAAATGTGATGGCCTCCAGAAACTTGGAATGGCCCTCAGTCTACAAGCAGCAAGAAAATGGAGAATTCAGTCCTACAACCACATGGAACTGAGTTCTGCAAATAACACAGATAAGCAAGGAAAGAGTCTACAGAAAGGAACATAGGTCTGTCAACACCTTGATTTTCATATAGTGAGATCCATGTTGTACTTCTGACCTCCACAATGGTAAGATGGTAGATCTGTGTTGTTTTATGTCACAGAGTTTGGGATGATTTGTTACTGCAACAATAGAAAGTAATACATATGGTCATAATGCATGCACTGCATCAGGCCTGTGCTGAGAGCTTTACATGCCTGGCCATATTCAATCTTCACTACAGTCCTGTTAGGTAACTATTATTATCATCATCTCCATTATATGAAATGGGAGTATATTCATTTGCCCGGGCTGTCGTAGCAAATGACTGCAGACCTTGTCTCCAAGTACAGCTACATTCTGAGGTACTAGGGGTTAGGACTTTAACATATGGATTTGGGAGGATATAATTCAGCCCATAATGGGGATACAGTGTCATAGAGAAGCTGTGTCCCTTTTGCAAGGTCATACAGTCACAGCCACTAAATGGAAAGTAGGGATTGGATCCCAAATTGGTTGGACTCCAGAGATTGTTCATTAGCCACTACGCAATGATGCCTCCCCAGGTCCCAGGTCCCAGTACAGAGCCCCTGAATAATTCCTAATCCCCTGAAGCGCGTGCGCGCGCACGCGCGCGCACACACACACACACACACACACACACACCTTAGTAACATCCCAGCCATCTTTCCTACTCCACTGTCATGCTGATCCAGGGTGCCTTTTCATGGGAATGTCTGCTTGTGTTGTTTGATTATAAAATCACTCAGAACTTTTTGGTTTTCTAGGTTCTTGTAACACTTGTCATAAACTAGAAAAGTGAGTTTCCACATTCAGCAGCTACTCCAACAGGAAAGAACATCATGTGGAAGGTTGACGTGCTGCTTAGGAAAGGGTAAGAACCAAAGTCCACACCCCCGCCACTCCCTACCATAGAAAATCAACCCACTGGCTCCAACAAAATTAATCATCTTAAGAATCCTTTTGTTAAAAGTCAAGGAAACCAGATATAAATCTAGAATAAAAGACTTTGGTTAATAGAGGGGAGGAAAAAAAATGAATCCTCAATAGGTGATGTGGTTTCTTTTACTATCTGATGAAGGTCAAGATGATAAATGTTATAAAAATAGTGAATTCACACTAAGGAGGCACAATATCTGACATTTCTTTGTCACTAATTCTCAGAATTCTAAAATGGAATAACAATCATAATAAACCATGGTTTTGTGGACTGTGACCTATTGAATTACTAGAGGGTTTCACCCAATGTTAATCCCTCAATGACTCTTCTTTTTTCTGATGTTACTGCCTCCATTTGCAAAGAGCAGTTATGGCAGAGCAATCAGGACCCAGGGTGACGACCCATGTGTCATCCCTGGCAGATCTCTGCCTTCTCACAGGATTTTGTTGAGGTCTCCAAAGGAAACTTCTCCTTTCATTTAAAAAAAGTAAATCTGCAATTTTGTGAAATGTAGGCAAGCCCATGCATGAAGGACCATTCAGGTCAGCAAATAACTAACTGGGAAAGAGTTCCTTAAAGAGTACAAGTGTTTTCCAGGAAGCCCACAACTGCAGTCTCAGCTGAGAACCAGAAGGCATCAGAAGAGACAGCATTCCCACTTTACATTCTTCCGATGATTCCTGAAGTAGAGAGAAAAATCAGGGTTTGACTTGTTGCTCAAACACCTCCAAGCCAAAAAGAAAGGAGGAAATGGATCTTGAATATTTACCATGTCTCAGAGGCTGTGGAAGCAACAACCACAAAAATGTATTGAGTTAAAAACTCTGCTATGGCTATTATAAGCATCATCTCATTTGGTATTTCTCATAGGGATGTCATAAATCCCTAATATGCAGATGGAAAAGCAGAGACCAAGACAGGTTTCTGTCCCAACGTGCCTGTTAGTGGACAATGAAGACCAGATTTGAAGGTGGCGGCCAGGAGCTCTCACATATGCCTGGTGCTATAATTGTTACAGATGAGGAATCTTTGTCACTGATTTATCAAGTCTACCCAAGGTCACCCATCTGGAAAGTTGGAGATGAGGTTGGAAACCACATTGTCTTTTCCCCAAATAAAAAAGGTTCAAGGAAGGTAGATTGAGTACCAGAAAAATCTTTTATTGAAAGGATATCCTACTTGAAAACTTTGGCAGCAATGGTAGCCATGGATTTACCCTATGGTGGGCTGAGTAGGTGGGGAAGTCAAGGTCTTACAGGCTTTCAATGGACTGGACCAAGGAAAATGCAAGTAGGCAAAAGAGGAACTGCTGCTGCTGAGGGCTGCAGATAAGAGGCTGGGTGAGCTGCCAAGAGCCCAAGCAGGCCCCAAATCATACCTGCCCACAACACCCTCCCAAATGAGCAAGACTTCCTCTTGCACAGGAACCTATTTGCCTTCTGAGTATGAGGAGCCTGGTGTCCAGAGCCAGGAATGCAAAGGATGGGGGTGAGCAGGGGAAAGGGGAAGAACAGCTAGAAGAGGGAAGCTGAGCCAAGTACCTTCCTCCTCCTAATTTTCTCTTCCCACAGGTGAGTAACTTGCACTAAAGGAAAAGCTTCTGAGCAGTTCTGGTTTCACACTTTTTTAAAACACTCTCTTTCCCATCCTTAAATATAAACTTCATCTGGAGGAGGAAAAAATGTTTCCATGATGGGAAGACGACTGTGCCATGAGAAGTAGGATCTCCCGTAGAGGAACCCCCTTCATGATTCAGTGAGAGCCTGCCATGTGTCAGATGTGACACCAGGCACTGGGTAGACACATGGACAGGAAGAAGATAGCAAACATAAAGATGGATATGCAGATGTGAACAAAGCAAAGGTGGTGACACAGAGCTGTGGGAAGCACAGGAAATGTCTGATCTGGGGTAGAACAGAGAAACCCTTATCATCTTCTTACTCCCGCACAAGAGAGGCACCTACAGAGAAAAACTGATGAATTAGCCAAGTCTGTTTTGTCTGGAAGCCCTGGGACAGGTTGAGAAGCCACCAAGGTGGTTGGCTTCAGTGCACAGAGATACTTTGTTTCAGATATTGCACAGACTATTAGAGCTAAAGGAGAACCTAGAGATGTTCCACACCAGTATCCTCCTGTTACAGGTGAATAAATAACCTGAAGAAAATGGGTGGCCCCAAGAGAGTTTCAGGGATGTGTTCAACAAAATGAGGTGAGTGCCAGATCAAAACTGAGGCCCATTTATCTTTAATTTGGCCTGATTCATTCATGTATTCACTCATTGAAAGGATTACCGAAATATTTCTTTGGAACATTTTCAGAGTACAAATTATATGCTGAGAATTAGGCTTGTGTTTATATTTTTATCTGGATAACAAAAGGACCTAAAGTTCATAAGGAAATGAACTTAATTACTGCTATTTCAAATACATAAATCTTCAAAAGTGTTATAAATTTTTTGTCACTTGGTATTTCTCTGCTTTGATCTCAATACAACTACCCACTGCCAAAAGGATGCAAGAGAATACATGTGGAACACAGACAGCACTTTCTGCAGTGTACTATAATAAAATCAGAGAAAACAAAGACATAAGAAAATATTAAAAACAGCGAGAGGGTAGAAAACATATTATCTTCGAAGGAGCAACAGTGAGGCTTATGGTTAACTTTCCAATGGAAACTATGGAATTTTTTTTTAAGGCTGAAAGGAAATAACTCACCCATGGGAAAACATTATATATTGGGTAAATGTAGACAAATATTGGTTTTGTACAAAACAGTAATGATGATGGCTTACAGAAACTAAAATGTATATAGAATTAAAAGTCATGATTACTATAAGAGCGCAAAGGCATGAGAGGGATAGAGTTTAAGTGTTCTAAGGTTACAACATTGACTGAGAAATGGTAAAAATATTCATTTATATTTGGATATAATTGGGCAAGGTTTAAAAAACTAATGAGTTAATGGAAAGTGGAAACTGAATAATAAAAATATTTTATTAATACAAAAAGAGGCAAGAAGAGAGGGAAAAAGAAATGCAAAACAGATTACATGAATAGGAAAATAGGCATGTGTCTATGTTCCATGTGTATTCCCTTGGATCCTTTTGGCAGTAGGTAGTTATATTGAGATCAAAGCAGGGAAATATTACAACACTTTTGATGATTTGTAAATTTGAAATAGCAGTAATGAAGCTCATTTCCATATGGAACCTCGGCCCTTTTGTATAGTGATAAAAATATAATAGAGATATAATAGAATATATCTATTCTAGGGGGTGGCTCATGCCTGTAATCACAGCACTTTGGGAAGCCAGGGCAGGTGGATCACCTGAGATCAGGAGTTCAAGACCAGCCTGACCAACAAGGTGAAAACCCATCTCTACTAAAAATATAAAAATTAGCCAGGCATAGTGGCATGTGCTTGTAGTCCCAGCTACTTGGGAGGCTGAAGCAGGAGCATCGCTTGAACCTGGAAGGTGGGGATTACAGTAAGCCAAGATCATGCCACTGCAGCCTGGGTGATAGAGTGAGATTCTTTCTCTCTCTCTCTCTCTCTCTCTCTCTCTCTCTCTCTCTCTCCCCCTCCCTCCCTCCCTCCCTCCCTCTGTGTGTGTCTGTGTGTGTGTGTTTATATATAGCATACATATATAGCATATGCTATATATATATATGTTTGTATATACATATATATATAGCATATGCTATATATGTATGCTATATATATATATATATGTTTACATATGCTATATATATGCTATATATATATATATACACACAGAGAGAGAGAGAGAAGCTCCCTCATAGTCCTGGGAATCTACAAAGAGTGTGATATAGACATAATTATATGAATAGATATAATTATATAGGAGAGAAATAAAATAAATGTTTCAATTAAAATTCTGAGAAGACATCAGCAAAATTGGAAGGGTAAGGAATTCCAAAACTTTCCCCTCCATAAAAGCAATAAAAAATGGGTAAAAATTCCCCAAAATCAACTTTTTTCAGAAGTCTGAAAATTAACCAAAAGCTTCCAGCAACTCAGGGAGCATTTAATCAAGAAAAATTGCTAAATCTCATCAGGAAAAGCAAGCTTTGTGGCAGCTGAACATAATCTAATCTCATCCTTTACTTCCTAGCTCTGTGGCAACCTTGAAAATTAACAGCCACATTCCCAGTGTCAGAGAGAGATTATGGGTCTAGAGTACTTTAAAAGCCTTAATCCCAACAAAAAAAGTTATTATTTGGCCTATTTGGTGTTTCCCTGGCAGACACTGGAAAGGTGTTGCTCTAAATTTCTTCTCTTCAGAGGCCTTTGTTGAACATTTTAAAATCACAGCTACCTGAGGTAATAGTAGTTACGCCAAATAACAGGCTACCAAAAAACTTAAAGGAAAAGCTGAGAAATGAGATGTCGGTATGGGATTTGAAAAGCTCCCTCATAGTCCTGGGGATCTACAAAGAGTGTGCACATGGAGGACTGTGCACATGCTCAGGAAAATACCTGAGAAGGCTCTAATATCTCACCTTTATCTGACCTTGAGACTCTCCAAGCAAGAAGTAAAGGCTAAGGCATAGTGGTCCACTACCTGGCTGACCATTAAGCAGTGTCTCAACCCCCACAGAGAGATGCTCAGCAGAAACACAAAGAGTGAGGGACTTACTGGTTAGTCATGTAAAGAAATCTTTGTCAGGTTGTTAGCCAGCCACCATGTAAAGCAAGTGAAGACTTCAGTGGCCACATACTACAAAGACACAGGCTCTAATCAGTTGATTAAAAAAATCACTAAACAAACAACAGCTACTAAGACAAGCAGCAACAACAAACCCAAAGAAAATATTATATCCAGAGTTGCCACACTGTATCATTTGAAATGTCAAATTTTCAAAAAAAGGAGGGGGAGGGGAAGAGACATTCAAAAACACACAAAAAAGAATAACTAGTACACAGAAAAAAATAGAAGTTAATAGAAACTGTCCATGTGGAAACTCAGGCATTGGAATTACCAGACAATCAGATATTTTAAATCAGCTATCATCTCTTAAAAATCAAAATAGCTATGTTTTAAAAACTAAAGGAAAGTATAAAAACAATGCCTTAACAAATAGTTAATATCAATAAAGAGATTTTATTATTAATTATTTAAAGAAATTAAGTAGAAATACTGGAGTTGAAAAGTACAATAACTGAAATGAAAAATTATTACAAGAGGCTGGGCGTGATGGCTCACGCCTGTAATCCAAGCACTTTGGAGGCCAAGGCAGGCGGATCACCTGAGGTTGGGAGTTCAAGACCAGCCTGACCAACATGATGAAACCCCATCTTAAAAAAAAAAAAAAAAAGAAAGAAAGAAAAATTATTACAAGAAATAAAGAGCAAAATGAGCAGGCAGAATAAAAGAATCTGCAAATCTGAAGGTATGGCAATTAAGATAATCCAATATGAGGAACAGAAAGAAAAAGAAGTAAAGAAAAGTGAATGGAGCGCAGTGACTTCTGGGACACCATCAAGCATACTAACGAATGTACAGTGGGAGTTCCAGAAATAGAATATAAGGGGAATGTGTAAAAACAATATTTAAACAAATAGGCCAAAGCCTCCCAAATTTTATGAAAAATTTTAATCTACATATATGAGAAGCTGCAAGAATTACAAATAAGATAAACTCAAATATACTCCAACCAAGACATAAGATAATGACATAGTTGAAAGCTCAAGACAGAGAGGAATCTTAAAAGCAGCAATAGAGAAGTGATTCATCATATACAAAGAATTGCCAATAAGATTAATAGCTAATTTCTCACCAGAAACCATGGAGGCTAGAAGGCAGTGAGATTACATATTCAAAGAACAGAAAGAAAAAATTGGCAAGCAAGAATTCTATATCTTGAAAAACTATCATTTAAAAAAATTAGAAATTAAGATACCCAACATAAACCAAAACTGACAGAGCTTGTCCCCAGTGCACCTGCTCTATAAGGAATATTAAATGGAGTTCTATAGGCTGAAATGAAATTAAAGTAGCTTGAGTCTACACACAGAAATAAAGAGCACTGGCAAAGACAATACATAGATAAATGTAAAAGAGAGTATAATCAAATGTTTGCATATAATTCCTTTTTTCTATCTGATTTGAGAAACAACTGCATAATGCAGTAATTATAAATCTGTTGATGGACATACAATGTATAAAAATGTAATTTTTGGCAATAAGAGCACAAAGAAGGGGAAATGAAATTATATAGGAGCAAAGGTTTTGCACACCATTGAAATTGAGTAGGTATTAATTTAATTGTTATAAATTAAATTAAAGATTAGAAAATATCTATTTAACAAAATAGATTATGCTTTAGAAAATATCTATTTAACCAAAAGGGAATGCAGCAATGGAGAAACTGAGGCGCAAAAATACATAAGACACATAGAAAACAAATAGCAAAAATGGCAAAATGGAGAGATAAATGGGTTAATCTCTCCTATTAGGCTGAGATAGGCAGAATAGTTTTTTTAATGAGCCAAATATATGTAGAATACAAGATACATGCTTTAGAGTTAAAGACACAAATAGGTTCAAAATAAAAGAATGGAAAAAGATACACCATGCAAACAGTAACCAAAAGAAAGCTGAGTGGCTATGCTAATATTTTTTTAATAAGCTTTAAGAAAAAATTGTTGTTACTGTAGTGATAGGACATTTAGAAACCAAGAAGATATAACAATTATATGCATATATGCATCTAACAATATACTCATAAAAGACATGAAGCAAGAAATGATGGAACTGAAGGGAGAAATAGACAATTCAATAACAATAGAAAGTTCAATATTTCACTTTCTTTTTTTTCCAAATCACAATATTCAGTATCCAACAACAGCTTACAATGAGGTAGAACTATGTATCTTTCAACCTGAATCTGTTTATTAACTATGCATATTTAAACCTGAATCTATATATATTTAAACCTGAATTAAAAAAAAAAAAATCCACTTTCAATAATGTACAGAACAACCAGACAGAAGATCTCCAAGGAAATATAGGACATTAACAACAGTATTAGCAAACTAGTCCTATGTTTATAAAGCACTCCATGCATTCAATAGCTAAAAAATACTACCTTTGGCAGGGCATGGTGGCTCACACTTGTAATCCCTGCACTTTGGGAGGCTAAGGCAGGTGGATGACCTGAGGTCAGGAGTTAGAGACCAGCCTGACCAACACGGTGAAACCCCATCTCTACTAAAAATACAAAAATTATCCAGGAATGATAGCGGGTGCCTGTAATCCCAGCAACTCAGGAGGCTGAGGCAGGAGAATCACTTGAACCCAGAAGACAGAGGTTGCAGTGAGCCAAGATTGAACCATTGCACTCCAGCCTGGGTGACAGAGCGAGACTCTGTCTAAAGAGAGAGAGAGAGAGAGAGAGAATACTCCCTTCATCAAATAGTATTGGGATAGCAGGATGTCCACATGAAAAAGAATAAAGTTGGACCCTTTCCTCCCCCCAATATATAAAAATTAAGTCAAAATGTATCAACAACTTGAATATAAGAAATAAACTATAAAACTAGACAAAAACATAGGTGTAAGTCTTCATAATATTGGATTGAGCAATGGCTTATTACAACACTGAAAACATAAGCAACTGAAGAAAAAAATAGATTAATCAGAATTTATCAAAATTAAAAACTTTTGTGTGTCAAAGTATACTATCAAGAAAATGAAAAACAATGCACATAATAGGAAAAATTATACATCTAATAAGAGTCTATTTTTTAGAATATATAGAGAACACTTATATAGCTAAAAAGACAAGTAACACAATTTTAAAGTGAAAAAAAGATTTGAATAGAAATTTTTCCAAAGAAGATATATAAATGCCAATAAGCACATAAAAAAATGTTCAACATCATTAGAGATATGCAAATCAAAACCACAATGAGATATCACTTTACAGCCTTTAAGATGGCTTTTATTTAAAAACAAAAAAGAATGCTAAGGAAGATGATCATTGGTGAAGGTGTGGAGAGTTGGAACCCTCACACATTTCTGGTGGAATGTAAAGTGCTCCAGCTACTATGAAAGCAGTTTGGCAATTTCTTAAAAAGCTAAACATTAAATCACCATATGATCAGCAATTCAATCCTAGGTATAAATCAAAAGGAATTAAAAACAGAAACTTGAACAGGTATTTTTATGTCAATGTTCACTGCAGCATTATTCACAATAGCCAAAAGCTAGAAACAACTTAATTGCTCATCACCAGACAAATGAGTGAATAAAATACGTTGTATACATACAATGAAATATTATTCAGTCACAAAAAAGAATAAAGGGGTTTTTTGTTTGTTTTGTTTTTGGTTTTGTTTTTTGTTTATGTTTGTTTGAGACAGAGTCTCGCTCTGTCGGCCAAGATGGAGTGCCATGGCTTGATCTTGGCTCACTGCAACTTCTGTCTCCTGGGTTCAAGTGATTTTCCTGACTCAGCCTCCAGCATAGCTGGGACTACAGGTGCACTCCACCATACCCAGCCTATTTTTGTATTTTTAGTAGAGACAGGGTTTTACCATGTTAGCCAGGCTGGTCTTGAATTCCTGACTTCGTGATCCACCTGCCTTGTCCTCCCAACGTGCTGGGATTAAAGGCATGAGCCACCGCACCCAGCCAGGAATAAAATTTTAATACATGCTACAACATGGGTGAAACTTGAAGACATTATACTAAGTTTAAAAAACAAAAACAAGGCAGGGTACGGTCACTCACACCTGTTAATCCTAGTTCTTTGAGAGGCCGAGGTGGGCGGGTCATCTGAGTTCAAGACCAGCCTGACCAACATGGAGAAGCCTTGTCTCTACTAAAAATACAAAGATAGCCAGGTGTGGTGGTGCATGCCTGTAATCCCAGCTACTCTGGAGGCTGAGGCAGGAGAATTGCTTGAATCCAGGAGGGGAGGTTGTGGTGAGCCATGATTGCTCCGTTGTACTCCAGCCTGGGCAACAAGAGTGAAACTTAGTCTCAAAAAAAAAAAAAAAAAAAGGACAAATAATAGAGACAGAAGATAAATTGGAGGTTATTTATGGGGTTGGGGGAGGAAAAATGGGAAGTTATTGCCCAATGGTTACAGAAGTTCTGTTAGGAATCATGAAAATGTTCTGGAAATAGAAGTGATGATGGTTGCACATCGAGAACGTTATTTTTGCTTTAAAATCTTTCAAATGGTAACTTTTATGTTATACATATCTTACCACAATTTTTTTTAAAATTAATAATGCAATATATCAAAACCATTGAGTTATACATTTTAAACAGGTGAATTGTATGGTATGTAAATTATATCTCAATAGAGCTGTTAAATTTTTTTAATCATAAAGGTATAAAATTTTATAGAGCCATAAAACATAACTGAGAAAAATTAAATGAGGCATAAATATTTAACACTGCAATTACTTTTGCACCAACCTAATAAATGGAAGGATGAACTACATTTGTGGATCAGAAGATTTTATGATTATGTATTATAAAAGTATTAATTCTCCCCTAATCATCTATAGCTGCAATTGCCATTCTAATCAAAATCTCAGTGTGTGTTGTGTGTCTGTATGTGTGTGTAATGTGACAAGCTGATTCTGAAATATATAGAACCACACAGCTCCAAGAATAGCCAAGGTAATCTTGGAGGGGAACAAGGTTGGAGGATTTATACTGCAGATAAACTACAGTCATTAAGACAGTGCAGTTTTTCATAATGAGTCGACAAATAGACATATTATACAGAACAAGGAGTAGAAACAGACCTTCAGATATAAGTCCACTTGATTTACAGCAATGGTTCTATAGAAATATCCTAAACAAAGGGTAAAAGGACCTTGTTTCTTCAATAAATGTTTTTGGTTCAACTGGCTATCTGCATGGGAAAAAATAAATCTTGATGCCTACCTCATACCATATACAAAAACCAGTGTCAGTAGTACTGTAAATCTAAATATGAAAGGAAAATCAACAAAGTTTCTCTAATGTTACATAGGAAAATAATTTTATAGCCTTGAACTTGGCAAAGATTTCTGAAATAGGACATAAAATCACTAATAAGTAAGTGAAAAAATTGCTAAATTTCACTTCATTAAAATTAAGAATATTGAGAAAAAAGACACTATTGAGAAAGCAAGCTAAGCAAATAAACTAGTAGGATGAGATAACTGTAGCATAGGTATCTAACAAGGGACTCATATGCAGGATATATAAAGAACATCTCTAAATCAGACAAGGACTGATAGCCCAATTTAAAAATTGAGCAAATAATGTAAACAGGCCCTTCGAAAAAGGAGATATCCAAATAGCTACAAATCAAAAGGTACAGGACATTATTAATCATCCTAGAAATACAACTGAAGCTGTCTACGGCCACACCACCCTGAACGTGCCCGATCTCCTCTGATCTCGGAAGCTAAGCAGGGTCGGGCCTGGTTAGTACTTGGATGGGAAATACAACTGAAGCCACAATGAGATACTACTACACACACAGTCCAGAAAATAAACTAAAAATACCAAGGGTTGGTGAGGATGTTCAGCAAAGGAACACTCATATACTGCTGGTGGGATATAAGTTAGTTCAAGCACTTTTGACAATTATTAGACAGCATTTATTAAGGCTGAACAGTTGCATACCTTATACTTATCAGTTCTACTCCTAGGCGCAGACTCAACAGAAATGCCTACATACAGTCACCAAAAGGTATATTCATAGTAGCATTGTTCATGGTAGTCAAAAACTGAACATAACCCAAATGTCCATCAGAAAAGAGTGAATGAATGAATAGAGTGCATGGATAAAATCTACACAATGGAGCCTTATACAACAATGGAAAAGAAAGAGCTACCGCTATCAACATTGTGGAGAAATCTCACAAGCAGAGTATTAAGCAAAAGAAGCCAAGCTCAAAAGAATGAAACTGTGTGGTTACATTTACACATAGTTTTAAAACAGCCAAAAATTAATCTATTGTGAGAAAAGCCAGGATACTGGCTAACGCTGAAGGAGGTCATGCTTATGAGGAGGCATGAGGGAGCATATTGAGTGCTTGCAATGTTTAATATGTATTTAGGTGGGATATAGACAAGTATGTTAATTCTGTAATAATTCATCATAGTGTATGCACTGTTTACTGTGTGTGTCAAAAGCTTTACCAAAGAAAGCATTTGGAAGGGAAGGCAAGAGAGGTCATCCAGAAACTTCCAGAAGAAGTGTGCATAAAAATCAGTCCAGGTGAGAGTGAGTCTGAGCAGAACCTGCAAGCAAAGTCAAAAAGCAAGACCGGATTCCTCTCTTATCACTTTTTCCAGGAATCAAGTGCTTGGTCTTGCTGAAATGGAGCAGCTGCTACTCTGAGTATGAGAGAGAGAGACATTTAGAAGGGCTGACTTTGTCCACATGGAAAACTTTATCACACTTGCCTCCTCTCATAGTTTTGAACCATCTTCAATTCCTGCCTGATAACACAAAAGGAAGAAATGTGCATGCACAGAACTGACTGGACTGAAGATGACTAGAGAAAGATATTAGGCAGATTTCAGAAGGCAAGTGTGCAACCCTGGAAGTCCAGCACACAATTCTCCTGTGTGTCAGAACTCATAGCTCCTTCAGCAGCACTGCTCACTAGCACAGTTGAGTGCATGCCACGTGTCAGGCAGTGGTCTTTGCCCTTGATATGTATTAACTTGTTCAATCTTCACAATAAGCCTGTAAAACATAGTTGAGCATCATCATTCCATTTTATAGATGAGGATATTAAGGTACAAAACTGTAGGCACCTTGACAAGCTCCCACTGCCGATTAGTAGTGGAGCTGCCATTTGGCCCATGCTCTCCACCTCTGCAAGACACCACCTCCTACTAACACAGACCCAGGTTGCCTCTGCATATTACCAAAGACAGCTTCTGCAAGACTGGGTTCATTTCTGGAGACATATTCTTAGGGAATTCAAATCCAAGGCACGTAATCCATCCACCTAGCAGGTAAACTGTACCTTCCAGAGGGGAACGTGGGATGCTGTTTGACTCCACCCCAGAGATACCACATTACTAATAAAAAGACTAACCTCAAATTTTCACAGAAATGACCAAAAACACAAAATTCCAACTATAAATGATGTTCTTTTCAAGAGGTCCACACATTCTTTAGAAAGTTTGATTCAATCCCAGCCTCAAGTCCTGCTCTTTATTCTATAAAACTGAATGAGAATGAGCTCTAGCAAAAAGGTTTTCCCTTTAGTGACAATGTCTCAAGGGCACACTTGTCAGTCAAGAAAACCATCTGTATTGGGTTTCTAGCCATTACTCTAAGCAGTGCCTGTAGGATGGTGGCCTCCCAATGATGACACAACCCCTGGAATCCACATGGCATTTGCCTTCAGAGGCAGCACATCAGCATTGCAGGAGAGCTGTCCCCTGAGCTGGTACTGCCCAGACCCTTCCCTCTGCCCCCCTCCTCACTATTTGGAGTGTTCCAGAAGCAGGCTGATGGACGAGGGTTCCTGTGAGTATTCCTTGCTGTGTATCTAAGGGCTGGAATGTGGGCTGAAATGTGGAAGCACAGATGTAAGCTGGCCCAGTGATCCCATCCTAACTTACTGGACCCTGAACCAGTCCACACTGGGAAGATCTACATTGAGGTATAGCATAGCTGCTTCTTTTGAACCACATCTTTATCATTTATGAAGATTTGTAAATACCAGCTTCCAATCTTGGCAAAGAAGTGAATGCACAATTTGGAATGTGTTACAGATCAGCTGGGTCATGGTTAGCAAGCCCATTATTTTCTAGCACACAATCTATTCATACCCTTCTCAAGTCATTCACAATCCCCTCTCAGTTCGCAACCGATGGAGTCAACTCC